AAATATACAACTTAAAATATCATACAATTAAAAAAATTACAAAAAATTTCATTCTCTCTCTCTGTCCCTCATAATCTGGGGTACGTGCCTCTCAATATGAATCATGTTCATAGTTATATATTCGATACACAACTATGAAGAATTTCATTATATTTTAGTACAAAATACATACACCTATTGTTATTTATCTGAAAGACTATGTATCTAGAGACCAATGTGTACAACGATAGAGTAGAGATTAATGTATTCGATAATATAGAAATATATATGACACAACAAAATTTTAAGCAAGGTATCAATTGCAATATATCTGACAATAAAGAAATGTACTGCGGAAGATGAAAAATAAGATATTTTTTTAACTGAGCAAACTTTCAAAATAAGATGTAATTAGCCTCAAATATATTAAGTTTTTGAATTTTGCCCAAAATGATTATCAACCAAGAAGAAGTGCTTTTGGCTAGAGCCTACAACCATAAGCCCATAACCGTACCAAACTTTCAAATATGTCATTTGAAATGTAAAAATTAATAGTAGTATTTATAATGAAATATATAGGAGAAATATCACACTATTAAACAACCTATGCATTTGAAATTTGTAAAATATATTCTCTTATTCCATAGGTGAATAAGGTTTTCTTTTTAATTAAAGGGAAAAGGGTCAAAAATGCCCTTAACGTATTGAAAATGGCTCAAAAATGCCGTTCTTTCATCTATTGGATCAAAAATGCCCTCTCATCCACCTATTTGGATCAAAAATGCCCTTAGAATCAAATTTAAGCCTAAAATTACCCTTATCTTTAACAGATGCTGATGTGGCAAATATATATCTTTTAGTTAAATGTGTGGCATTATTTTATTGGTCCACATATATTAGACCCACTTTCATTCATAATCATACCCATTAACCCAAACCCAAATCCAAACCCATTTACCCCACTTTCTTCATCTTTCTTCTAAAAATTATTTGGAATATTAATAAAATAATATCAAAACAATCAATACAAGAACATGATGTTCCAAGCATTTCTCTACAAAAATTCAAAGTCTTTCGTGAGCTAATTGGAGATTGAACTCCTCCTCAACTGTTAGAGGCTCCATTTTTTTTTTAAAAAAAAGTGATAAACAACATGGCTTGATTTGATGAGTGTCTTGCTTCCATGGGAGATTGAATGTATGATTTTTTTTGTTCTCATTTCATCAAATCCACATTCTTTTGATACGTTTTGGGATACAAATTAAATTGCACTTATCTTCACTACCATAAAATTAGTAGGTCAATTAAATTTTTTTTCGAGAGAATGATGATATATAGAATTTTTTATAACCTTTTTTTAAAGATTTGAATTTACCGAAAGAATTTGATAGTATTTTATTAATCCTCCAAATAATTTTATAGAAGAAAGATGAAGAAAGAAAAAGTAGGATCTTTTAGAAATGAGTTTGGATTGATGGATATGATTGAGAATGAAATTGGGTCTAATTACATATGGACCAATAATCATAATGCCAACACATGAAATTTTAAATATTATTTTTGCCACATTAGCTTCTGTTAAATGGAGGGGTATTTTAGGTTGAAATTTTACTCTAAGGGCATTTTTGATCCAAATAGTTGGATGGGAGGGCATTTTTAATCCAATAGATGGAAGAAGGACATTTTTGAGCTATTTCTAATACCTTAAAGGTATTTTTGATCCTTTTCCCTTAATTAAAATGCCGCAACTTTTACCTGTTCACTAAATTTGTTATAAATAAAGGTTTGTTCTGATAAAAGATAAACATATATTTCTTTTCGTAAACTTATATTGTAGGTTCAAAATCCTGCAAAGAAATAAGATTTTTAGTCCAGATGATAATGGGGCGGTGCAGTATGGAGTGAGGCTAAATGAGTTTAATCCGCCCCGCTCAACCGCCTTGCGTGTCAATTTTATTTCATTTTCAACTCACCCCACATAATTTTTTTTTCAAGTTTAAGTTTGATACTAAAAATAAAATTTATAAAATAAATTTATCTTTTAGAGGTCAATTGAAAAACATGTAAGAGATTGTATTATTTTTTATCGAAACATTTTCATTTACTATTCTTATAACGTGTAAAAAGTTTAAATTAAGTTTAAATCCACGTAAAATCCGACACAAAAAGGGGCATTCCAAGAATCAAACTCGGGACCTCTCGCACCCAAAGCGAGAATCATACCACTAGACCAAATGCCCAATTTGTTTATTAAATTATCATATTATATTTTAATTTTCTAAAGAAGTATTTGAACTTCACATCTTGTTTTTTTGGTTGGTCACAATATTTTGCTGGATTGTCTAGTAGGATGATTACAAAAAATAATATATATATTAACTTTGTGTATTACTAATATTATTTTTGTTGATATATTTGTTTTATTATATATAACACTCTATTATATTTGTTATCATATTATGTACAACTAATATAGGACATTAACATGATTAATGACATAATTATCGCTTAAAACTTTTTCCATCATTGGAATGAATGGGATGGACACAATTCCCATACACTTGAAGCAAACTAATTCTCATAATATATCCTTCAATGTGGTGGTTATGGATGATTTAATTTTTTGCCTCATCTTCATATTTTACCTCTCCAAAAATAAGCTAGATGCCTTTATACATTTTGTTGGGTGGATATATAAATAATATTTAAAACTTGGTTGGATCAGTGGCGAAGTCAGAAATTTTAGTGAAGGGGGTTCAAAATCTTAGAAGTAAACATACGAATTAGTAGGAGGGGGTTCGACATTTATTATACATACCTAAAAAATAATTTTAACCATGTATAAATAGTAATATTTTTTCACCAAGAAGGTTCAAAACTTCGGATGAACCCCCTCATTATACACTGCCTCCGCCCCGAGTTGGATGAGTTTGTTGCTTGTATCATGTATGTTTGGATGAGTTTGTTGGTTGTATCATGTATGTTTAATTTCATTATTCGTAAATTATTAGCTTCATAAGATATTTTAGTTAAATTTCAGCGAAGGTATATAAGAAATATTGAAATCGAGAAAGGTCAAGTGATACTTTTTTTGGTCAAGAATATAATTATTTTAGGCCTTTTTATCCTTATACAACCAAAATAATTATTACTCTAAACGTAATTATTTTCACGATGTTTTAATTATAACACTATCAAAATAATGTAAATTACATGGGGATTAGCATAAAATTCGCAGTAAACTTATTTTTCTGCAAATATTCATAATAATTTCAAAAAAAAATTCCATGCAATTGACAATTTTCTTATAGCGTATATTATTCATTATAAGGTTTAGAAAGATGAAACCGGACTTTAATATATCCCATCAATATTAAGGTAAAAACATTTTCTTCATTTCACTTATTTTGTGACATTTTTGTATACACGTCTTAATTTTAACCCACTTATCTTTAATTATTTCTGTGAATTTTGTCTTCCCAACATTTTTTTAGAAGTATTAGTTCATCCTTGAAGATTATATATTATAATAATTGATTTGTAAAATTTAGTTTGGGTTGAAAAGATTATAGTTTAACAAGAGAAGAGAATTTGGAAGTTATTAAATCATTAAACACATTTCCTTATTTCATTGTAACACTTTTATGTTAATTTACTTACTACGAAGTGTTCTCCCCTTATAGGGTACAAAATGTTAACAAAAATTTCAAAATGGTATATAAATTTTTATATTAATCAAAACGGTAAAATCGCTGCACCAACAACGACTTATCCCACCGGAAAAAGCAAAATCGCTGCCTCTGCAGCGATTTTGCAAAATGTGATTTTCTTTTTTTAAAAAAATTGAAATCGCAAGCAGTGATTTATAGATTTTTTTTTTATAAACAATAAGGAGCGATTTCAAAAAAAAAAATTTAAAAAAATTAAGAAATCTCTGCTGGGGCAGCGATTTCATAAAAAAAATTTAAGGAAATCGCTGCCGGGGCAGCGATATATATTTTTTAAAAAATAATTTTTTTTTAAATTGCTGCCTTTATTTTTTTTAGAAAAAATCTTTTCTTTTTTTGAAAAAATATTTCAACAATTCAATTAATATGAAATAGAGGGAGTATAAAATTGCCACAAAATTCTCGTAATAAAAACATAAAATATTGGTAAAAAAAAATGAGCAATTATTTCTGAACACACCCAAATTAATTAGAAAACATATCTCAATACACCCTAATTATCTTTGTTGCTTTGGATTCTGTCGAGTCTTTTCCAGTTTCCAATAATAATTATTAGTAGAGTAATTAAAGGGCTTTATGAGTACTTATCATAAATTCTACAAACGATGCATCTTGATTATACAACATTTATACTTATCAAAAAAATTTAGCATTATTTCTTAATGTGCATTTTATTTGTGGTTAATTTTTATTTTTTTGAATTGCGATTTATAGAATTTTTTTTAAACAATAAGGAAATGCAGCGATTTCAATTATTTTTTTTTAAAAAATATTAATTCGCTGCTGGGGCAGCGCTTTAAATTTTTTTTTTTAAATCGCTGCCCCGACAGCGATTTCCTTAGTTTTTTTTTATGAGCAGCGATTTCTTTATTTATTTTTTTTTAAAATATTTTTTTCCTTATTGTTTAAATTATTATTATTTTTTTAAATCGCTGTTTAGGCAGCGATTTTATAAAAAAAAATAAAAATCTATAAATCGCTTAATTTTAACTCACTTATCTTTTAATTACTTGTGTGAATTTTTTCTTCCCAACATTTTTTTAGAAGTACTAGTTCACCGTTGAAGATTATATATTATAATAATTGATTTGTAAAATTTAATTTGGGTTGAAAAGATTATAGTTTTAACAAGAGAAGAGAATTTGGAAGTTATTAAACGCATTTCCTTATTTCATAGTTACACTTTTATGTTGATTTGGAAAACATTCAAGCAACCCCAAACATAGAAAATATTTTTCCTTCCTACCCTAACACAGCCTACTTTGAAAATGAATGCAATTAGGATATTTTTTCTTTTTCCAAATAAGAAGTGAACATTTATAAACTATCAGGAAAAAGAAAGATGTTAAGAAAAGTTCAAATTCTAGTTATAAAAAGCACAAGTCATATTCATAATGTTACATAAAGCTTCAAATACTGGTACTGGGATAGATAAATAAACTAAGAAAATATATCATAATTGGCATGATGTACAAACAGTTTGGTCAACAACTTGGACGCTTATTCAGGCTGCCTCTGATCAATCTGTGCACAGTAAATAAAGCGGCATTGCGGCTGGATCAAGCTCCCAGAAACCTCGAAGACTGCCACCTCTCTCTTCTGTCAGGCGAAAAGCAGGGATTCCATGAGAGAACTTGAGATGGTCGGACATAGATATTTTCACTCTTCCTTCTTCTTCCACTTGAGGCTTGTAGACAGACTTGAAGCCTTGTACCCTCACTAACAACTTCACTTGTATATAGCTAGTGGAAACGTCCACTATTTCAACAATCTCATACTCGCAATCTTCTAGTTTCTTACCTTTTATCTTAGCGCTCCAGTTCTTGTACACTGCCCAAACTTCGCCTTTTCCCGGGAAGATCTTGTATAAACCCTTCTTCAAAACCTCTGCTGCTACTTCATGTGAAAAGGTGGCGGTTCCAGTATATGGCTTCAGCTTACTGTTTCGAAACTTGAACTGTCCACACCCAATCGGCATTGTTTCATCATGCCACTGTGTTGTACCTTTAGGGGGTGGACAGGCATACAGCCATGCCACATGCAACACAAAATCAGGGAGAAGATCTATCTTCTTTATCAGCCCATAGTACCTGGGTAAGCCGTCTTCATCACTGTACATCGCCCAATATTGACCAACTTCAAACTTCTCCGGTGATCTCTCAGCATCAAAGCAGTAGAATATAGGTTCAGCAACCTGATCAGGTACTGATCCAACACACTTTTCTGCAGAATCCATGTGATCGTATGCCATGAAATTACCTCTCTCTCTCTCGTCTAGAGATGAAGCAGAAATGCCTACTTGGTCAGTAGGTAAGGAAGCAGGGTCTAGTTCAAAAGATCCTTCAGGAACATCATTCCTCTCCATCCCTGTCATCTTAAAAGAAGGAACTCTATGAGAAAATCTAAGCATCTCCTTTGCAGGAACTACAAATGGGTGTCCTGCTCGATGAAAAAGACAAGTGAAACCATTTGCTTTCACCAACTTTACAACATGCACACCAATAGCATCAGCAAAGTCTGACAAGACCTCAACAAAATCATACTTGAACTTCTTCTTCCTCTCAAGACCAGAACACCAGTTTAAATCCCAATCTCTAAAGATGGCCCAAGTTTCTCCTTGCAGTGGAAATATCTTTATGGCACCACAGCTATGTCTATTTATTGCACATACCAAATGGGAGAACATGGGAAGATCTTCAATGTCTTCCAAGTTTCCCTTTCTGAACCTACCACAAGAAGCTGGAAGGCCCTCAGACAGCCATTTGGTTTCATCTTCATTCAGCGGATCTGGCTCTAACCAAGTTATGCTCAACTTAAATGCAGGAGATACAATCTTGCTGATGACCGCATAAAATCTAGGCATGGCGTCTAGAGAATCATAAATAGCCCATACCTGTCCAACCTTAAAGCAAGATTCTTCCTTGTCCTTGTCAAAATCACTAAAATCTGGATCTGCACATTGATATATTTTTGGCTCAGCCATAGCAGAAGCCCCTACATCTGAGGGACAATCAACACTTCCTTTTAAAGGTAGATCCACTCTTCCATTTGCAGTCTCAGCTTCCTGCTCTGTGTTCTGCAAGCGCTCTTCAGAGGACAAACTGTCCTTCAATTTCTTCTCCTTCCCCTTAGGAGTTGCTGCATGAGACAAATGCTGAACCTCGGATTCCTTAGTAGGAGAGGGATATCCAACTCCCTTAGATCGCTTAGAAGGACCTTCTTCTTCATCTTCATCACTAAGATTATCACGGTGAGTGACATGCTGTCTACACCGTGTAGATCTTCGCTGGTTTTCCCTAGTGAGACATTGAGATTTCTGCCCAGGAACATGAGTGTCCACTTCAAAATTTGTATCTTCTGATAAATCACATTTTTCACTAGATTCTATTGATATCTTCTTTCTCTCTGTGTTTTTCCTTTTATATTCCCCTGATAATCCCTCCTTATTCATTTTTCTATATGCATTATCCGACTTTCCATTTCTATTAGACTCCTGACTAACCTCTGAGGGAAACTCTGGCTGTATAAATGAATTCCTGGCTAGGGTCTCATCAGCACCCTTCTTCTGACTGGAAGTAGGCTGACTCCTACTGGTTCCGGGTGTTGCAACTGAATCATTCACTTCATAACCTCTGTACGACTTCTTACTATTGGGGCACCGCAACAATTGATTTAGAAATGTCTTATGATACTTGTACTTAATAGAACAGCATGGGCAGATAGTCCAAAAGGTTGGTTCGCTTTCTGGAGCTCCTGATTGAGTTACCTTGTGATGTTTCCTGGTATCTGGCTGGCAGCTCTTATGCTGCATTGGTACTTGAAATCTCCCTGAAGGAATGTGTCTACTGTTGTACAACGTTCGTTTCGGTCCATCCAAAAGCACCGATATAGCTTCACCAATCAGTGAAAAGGCATCAGCTGCACCAGGGAACTTGTTCTTATCAGGATGTAGCAAGAGAGCAAACTTGCGATATTGCTTCCTGATAAGAGCATCATCAGCTGTTGGCTCTACTTTAAGAATACTATACCAATCTTTTTCATTTCCGAAAGACGTCTTCTCTGCAGAGCAATGCACCTCACAAATCGAAACCATCTGTGTAATGTTCTCCAGATCAGGAAAGAGCTTCTGGGCTTTAGATGCAAACTTTTTAGCTCCAACGAAATCTCTATTTCGCATCATAACTTCAGCCATCCCTCTAGCCTTAATGGCCTCTTCTTTGTTGCAGTCCATCGTCTAGAATTTGATGGTCCCACTTTTATGTTAACCCTCGGCTTCAGATGGTAGATTCCAGTAGAAAGCAAGTAGTGAAGAAACTGTAGTATTCACCTCAGCTGTTCAAGTTCATGTACCCTGAAAAGATTCAACATCTCAGATTAACTAAGAAAGAGAAAACTAAAATGATTATTTGTTGAGAATTGACGTGCATGCAGCTACACATTTCCTTTCTAAGAAAAAAAATAATGAGAACCTTCTAAGCAGTTTAAATCGTAAAGGATTAGCATTTGGCAGTGGAAAGGAAACATTGGAAGGGGTTGCCAAGAATGGGTCAGGTTTGATATCATAATAAATTATTGTATCATTTTATCTAATGAAAACATAATTCAACCCCAAAGTGATCAACAACAACATATCCACTGTAATCCCAGGTATGGGGAGGGTAGAGTGTACGTAGACCTTAACCCTACCTCGGGAGGTAGAACGGTTGTTTCCGATAAATTGTTGGCTCAAGAAAAGCAAAACAAAGCAGTCCAGAAAAAGAAATAACGGAAGTGAAGAAGCGATTATAAAGTGCTACATAACGCATAATAAATCAATATGAAGAAAAGGGAACAATAATTACCACAAAATTTTATGGTAATAGAAGTACAATGAACAGCATATAATAACACAAAGAGAAGGACAAAAATATACTTGCAATTACTACATCGCATCTAATCCGGAAGCTTCATTATATTTAATTATCTCTTCACACTAGTTGCCAAGTTAATAATTTTCATTAGCAAAATATTGTCACACTAAAATAGATACTCATCCTCTTTCCAACTTTCCTCGATACGCAACAAAACCTACGATTTAACTCAAGGAGCTGTTAATTTCAATAATGCAGCATCGAAATAAATTCTCTACATCTCAAATTTGTGATAGAAAACTTTTCGATCTTAGATACTCAATTTAGACAGTTAACACACTTCTTACTAAAAAAGTGAATATATCAAGCACAAAATTGCTTTTTACTAAAAAAGAGTATGCATCAAGCTCATTTGACCTACCTACATAATACACACATGTAAATATGTGTGTGTACACATACATATGCGACATCATTATTATAATAATATATGCAGGAAGTAGTATACCAAGTATTAACTAGCTTTGTCAATCCTGTCCATAAATTATCTTGTAATTTTTGGATATAGTATGAGTTAACCGCCTACATAGAGGAAAGACGAGTTGAAACCTGACCCAGAGGGATGTCTATGATTGAAGTCTAGCCATAAAGTTAGAAAAGCATTTTACTTCTATACTCTTGACATCAAAAGGAATCCAATGTTTGTTCTTAATTTTTTACCCATATTATGTGCTAACAAACAGGCTTCTACACACACTGCCATTATATTAGACCAAGAGTTCCTGCAGTCCCACCTTTACTTCACTTTACACAACATTTTCTCTTACTAGTCTTACAAAAATAAGTAGAAGCAATGCGTACTCTCTTCATACCTCCTCTAATGTTAAATGGCCCATCTTGGATTTCAAACTCAACTTAGAAGGAAGTTACACCAATAACGAGCATGTGTCAATTATAAACTAGTTGGGCTCGATTATATGAATCCTCTACATCCATTGTGTTCTACTAGATCCCATTGCATCTTATTACGCAATAGATTAGACTTTTGAGACAAATTATGGTTTCTCGATCCCATGACTAAAGTTCAACAGCAAAGATAGTTCAGCACGAGATGTATGGCAGGTATACATCCAAGGTTCTCAAGTGTGTAATCTTTCATTTAATTTTCTTCCCGGTGCATTATCTACCTCCAACCTCAATCATAGAAGTTTTAAACTAGAGGTTCTCTAAATGTCGCATTTATAACATACAAATATCAAACCAAACTGAAAGGACTCCTATAATGGAGTGCCAATAAACTAAATCAACCAACTAAAATTAATACATGGACAATTTACTTGTGCATATGTTGGCCCCCAACACTTTAAGTTTAATGGTAAGAGGATAGCTTATGATGTCTAAGTTAGGCAAAAGTAGCGGAATACAATCCTGCCGCAGACAAAAGCCTGGTATTTAACTGTATAGCGAGGGGCAAGCTCATTAACCCTCGAGTTTCAATCAGTGGTTTTCAACAACAAAAAAAGCTTACTTGCATGTCTGTCACACCCAAAAACCCAACACTAATGTTCAAAAGAGTCTCACCATTCATGAATTAACAAGATCACAACTTTCACAGAAATTGATCAACAGACAGAAGAATGTAAATTGCCGCCATACCACAATTTTACAGCAAACAAACAAAAATGGCATAGGCAGAAACTAAAAGCAACAGAAACAGACACCCCTTTATGCGATTCCCAGTAACATGCAAACGCCAAAACACAAGACTCTCAGACAATGCACTTCGTCAAATTCAAGAAACAGAGAGGCAAAAAAAAAAAAAACCCCTTCTCATCTACACAGAACTTGTTTAAACTTGCACATAAATCTATAATTCACCATAAAGATCAAAACTTTATACAGGAATCAAACCCCAAACCATCAAATAAAACAACCCCACAACCAAAAAACACATAAAAGATCACTCTTTGATGGAAACAAACAAGAACTTGTCTTTATTTCTTTACAAAAAAAAACATAGAGTTGATGAAGAAACTTACATTGGTTTGAACGTGAAGTTGAAGATTTGTGCTGTTTGAGGAAAAAGGATTGGAGGCAAAGGGAGAGTTGATGAAATTTGTATAAACAGGAAGATTCTGAGATTATACATTAATATACCAAAAAGTGCCAAAATGTTCTTAGAGTTGGGTTTAATTACGGCTGTGGGCCTATGGCTCTTTTGTTATTTTTGTCAATTTTGAGGGTAGATAAGGTTAGGACAATTCCAAATATGCCCACAGGTAATGCGTGAAGTGTTATTTCCTAAGTACTTGTTTTATTAATCACATTATTAAACAGGTATCCACAAAACTACTTTCAAAAAAAAAATAAAAAATGGTTTGATATATTTGAAATGTTATTTAGAACTTATATATTTCTGGTTACAAATGTGACTGATATATAATTGTATATATGAGCTACGTTTATAACAGAGACATTTTAGTTCTAAATGATAAAATTAAAGGACATGTACATGTCTTTATCCGTTTGAAAAATAATAATTTGTGGTTGATTAATTCATTTGAAAAAACTTTTTGATTAGAGGTGTGCATCGATTGATTTGGTTTATCAGCTTTTAAATATGACAAAATGAGATATTTTTTTTATTGATTTTAGTTATTTGATTTTGGACCTTAAAGGTTTCGTTCTCGATTTAACCACTAAGAAAATGCTTATAAAATAAATATATGACTTCTCCAACAATTTGATGCGACAAAACAATAATATAACTTTTCAAAACCTTCACAAAATAGAAACAATAATAACTGATACGAAAAGAATTATACAATTGCAACACAAAGAGAAATTAAGAGGAATAAGATTCTTACTTTGAGTTTTGATGTTTTATATTATGTGAAGTTGTAAACTCAAATTTATTGTGAAGTGTAAATTAAAGGTCATAGGACAAAAATACTAACCAGTAAAGTATTGAGATTAGAATTTAATATTTATGGAGGTGTAAAATAATAAATGACTATATCCTTAATAGGTTATCGACTTACTCAATAATTCAATATTAAAAAATCAAAACGGAATCAATAACTCGATGTATTTTTAATCAAACCATTAGAAGTTCGTTAACCCAATAATCTAATGGCAATAAATCAACAATATATTTTTTAATTCGATTTATTGATTAATTCAATTTTTGCATACTTCAACTTTTGATAAATAATTTGTGGTTTACAACTTTTAAATAAAAAGATACCGTACTAACTTTTAAATTCAAATGAACAATGACAACTAAACTATAGCGAAAACATGATTTAGATATTATAACTTATCATTTTTCACTTTTAATGAAGTTTAATTGTTAGTCCTTTTAGCGTTAAAGCCAATGTAATATTAAATTCTTTTTTTTTCAAGCAAAAATTATATCAAGAATAATTAAGTATATAAATATAAATACATATTTTATAAATACGATAAATAAATAAAAAGTTTAATACAAATCAATAGAAAAATGGGAGTTGTATAGCCAGATGAAAGGCAAATAAATTGGTTCATGCTATCATTTCTTTTATATTCATTCGAATTGATTTCTTCCTTTATTGCTTATGAAAATAAATATCTTTCTTTTATGTTTTCTAATACATTTTTTATAATAACTCCTTATGTTCTTCATTTTTCATTCTTCCTCTATTAGAAAAAAATAGGAGACAAAATTTATCAATAATAATTCAATTTTATTTCGTTAACACAATCATATTCATCTTCAAAATCATATAAACTTATCTTTTTTCTCTATATATTACTTACGCATTCATTCACAAATTTTGATGTACACAATGTTCCCGTATAACTTGGACATAAAATGTTAGTCAACTACAATTCATCATCTTAGGATTCTTATGTAATTTTTTAATTACATGTTATTATTCTTTCTTATTCTGATTAATATATTGCTTTGTTTAAACCTATTATTTTATATGTATACGATGACACGCATATTTCTTTATTTTCTTAAATTTTGAATTGATATTAGAAATATTTTCTATACAAAGTTAGATTTATCTAAATTTTATGATAATAATAAAGTTCAAACGTTGAGTTATGCAAAACTTCAATACATAAAAAAAAAATATCATAACCATTTTCCATCTAAAGCCAAAAGAGGAGCAACAAAATTGGAAAGACAACATTTCAGAAAGCAAATTCCTACTAATGGGGATGAATAAATTGAATTTTTAGAATTCCAATTATAGTTTCTTTTTTCATATTGAATTGTACTCACTTCCTTTAAAGATAACCTAGCTTTTTGTTACTATCAAAATAGTTAAGAATCATTGATCTCAAAAATCGTATACAACTTATATCATTAGATTTTTCACCTTTGATAAATTATCTTGATTATCCTTTTTCTTGATACTGATACTAAAATTTTTAAGGTTGACTTGTAAGTATTAATTAGGAAAATAATATGCTATGCTACATGTATGCAATTGATCTTTCAACAAATCAATTATGTGGTTAAATTCTTATTAAGTTTGGAAACGTAATTTTCATACATGTTTTAAATTTTTTTACATGACAACCTCATTGGAGAAATTTCAAAACATTTGCAATTTGTATGAAATTGAATGCATTTATTTCCTACAATAAAGATTCTTTAGTCAATTTTATAGTTCCTCCTTCGCTCATATACTTGTACCCTTGTTTGTCTAGTGTCCAGGGTGATCAAATTCTTCTTCAGATTAGGAACATGATGGATTTGTATTGTAATAGTTCTCACGAACCCATCATGCCAGAGAACCCGAACTAACCAGTGCAAACTATTTTACAAGTTGCATTGTTTCCCATTATTATGGTTCCTACACTTGTCTTATAACTACTGAAGCAATCTCTTTAGAATGTTATATGCAAAGTACAATCAGAGTATGACACCCATTTGTTGTCATAAACTCCCCTATTGCATGATGTTGTCAGTACATATTCATCATCAAAATCATGAACTGCTCAATAATGGATGCACTTGCTTTTTCTTTGGACCTTGACATAGGACAATCTCAAAAGTATCCCTTATTGTGACAACTTCGGCCGTCCGCATTCTTCTTCTTCACAAGAGATTTTGATCTGTACATTGATTTTCTCCTCCTGTGTTGGCTAGTGAAGCCTCATGGTCTTGCAACAAAATACTCGACTCTATCTTAAATATGTGAAGACGTCGTTGTAACAATAACTTTGTTGTCACTAACCGGTCTTGGTAAAACCCTTCAAGCCTTTTCCATAACTGTTTGGTCGTCTCCTCGGTACTTGTACTCACTTCACAAAGCACGTTAGGTGCAAGATACACTTGGATTACGACACTTCAATGCATCTCGTTTAATCTTCTCCTTGTTGAAATCCGAAGTGTCATCGAGGTACTCTCCGTCAATAGCATGGATTAAACTTTCTCTCTGTAGTAACACCATCACATGGATCTTCCAGATATTGAAGTTATTGTACCCACTAAATTTATCAATTTCAAACTTCATGGAATAAAGTAAAAATTTATAATTAAATTAATAGTTACACATTCCAAGAAGATAAATCTTTTAAAATTAATTAGTAGAAGATGAAATTCTCCTTCTTATTAAGTAGAATACGATTCAAATTTATAACTAAGGAAACTTAATTAGAAGGAAATAACTAAAATAACTAAAGTGCAACAATTGCTATTTAAATTTTGTCATTACATAATTAAAATATTAACATTTAATTAAATAAATTAGATTTTAATTTATTGGAGAGACAAATTGACAATATTACTATTTTTACAATAAAAAGTTTGTTAAAATATATTTTACATTTTTTGTTAAAAATATAATAGGAGGAATATTTGGTCGGAGGTTAAAAAATCTTCTAACTTCTTCAGCATTTGGTATGACATTTATTTTTTGACTTTGGAATTTGGATTTCATGATAATTTTAATAAAAACTGTCTAAATATATATATATATATATATATATATATATATATATATTATTCCACAAGCACATATAAGAAATTTTTTTTACAAATATTTAAAATTATAGGTGCAAAAATGTCGTATTAATAATTTTAAACTAGAATATCTTGTAGGTGTTAATTGTGTGTTTTTACATGCCTTATAGACTATTATGCTGATAAGTTAAAAATCGTGAAAATAAGTTAACAGAAGTACATTCAACTACATAAATGGAGGGGTCTTATCATAGTTTTAATTGTTGTCTCTTGTATTCAGATTAGCATACCAGAAATAATAAAAAATGAAAAGAAGAACTATCCGAGTCCACAGAACCCACCGCGTGTCCTTGAGAAATTTAATCCCCTCAAGTATCTGAGGTTGCAAATTAGTTCCTCCTAAGATAAAATAGATTAACTATTAAAGAAGTAGCGGTACCTCAAACTTCAATAATTTCAACGAATTTAAAATAACAACAAAGAATCACACACACAAACACGACCGATCAATTTTATTTTGTAAGAAATATATGCAAGAGAAGGGAAGAATTCAGTGCAGATATATGAGAGAAATCCTCTCTATTTATAGCCAACAAAGGGTGAAGGTCGTAACTTTTTGAAAATAAGACAATTTTTTTAGATAGGTCACAACCCTTTGGAAAAGGCACAACCTTTCAGATGGTCACAATTCTTTAGAAAAGACACAACCTTTTATAAAGGTCACAATCTTTCGGCAAAGTTACAACCCTTCAAGAGACTCAACCCCTTATTTCCTATTCATACCTTTAAAACCTAAAAATCCCCCACATGAATAGGGAATGTCTATTGTTAAAACATATGTATGAAAAACTGTGCGAATTGTAAATAAGGATTGATTGCATTTGGATAAGTGAGTTTTCCTTTGAACTTTTGATAGTAAACATATATTGAATATACTCGGTCAATCGGCAGATTTGATATCCATGAACCATCAAGCTTTGTTGTATACCTACACAATATAAGTCACACAATCAACCCTTGAAATGCTTTTAATTCTCATTGTTTTGTTCGTTTGAGCCATGAACACGTCTTGGTTTGTAAGTGCGTAGATAACTGGTCTTACCGAATTCTCCTTGAAGCGATTTACGCTTCACACTTATATAGGTGATTTCTTAATGTGTTATCTCGTAGACACACTATTTAATATACCCTGTATCAAACTTAGAAACCATTTA